TCTCTATCCTTTGTGTTTAATATTTAGGGGTTGTACTGCCATATATTAATGTTGGGAAAATTCATCTAAATTGTAGTGTCGGTTACCATGTTATTCCTACATAGCTCATTCTATCTCCTGGAAAGTCCAATTTATTCATTCTTCTTTAGTCACAATTTACCTTTGTTAATTATTCGTCTATTAACCTTGACTGTTTTTATATGAGCGTATGTGTATACACCTCTTATCTCAATTCATCACGCCTGTAACTTATTTCTATCCGAATAACGCTTTATTAAATCAAGTTGGCTCACATGCCTTCTCCATCACTCATCATTTCGTTTCGCTTCGAAATCCTTTCTTGTTATTCACTAACGCGAGCTAAGTTGATAATTATATACGAGGATTGGCGATATGTATATTTGAATAGAGATCAACATACGATCTAAGTGGTAAGACTGTCGATAACATTATCTGATCTAATTGGAGTCAAAATGAAGGGCCAAAATCAAAACTTAAGCAGCTTAATTTCTCAATACGAATTATTAGATAATCAATTATAAACTGAATAATTTATAACTATTAACCAATATAAACACAATCGATAAATAAACAAGCGTTAAGAGAGAGATTAGGCAACAAGTGATAATGTGTATGGCATGAAATCGATCTCTAAATTTGTTCGTCTTCTACCTTTACTTCACTTGTGTTTATAGAGCATAGATGGAGCGAGTCTAACAGTTGAATACAGGATATTATTTTCGTCCTATTTGGGAATCATCAGCAAGATGTACCTGCATCTCACAGTTGATTTCCCCTCCAAGACTATATCCCGTCTGTATCAATACAATCCATAAAAGATGCACATATGTCAACCAAGACTGATTAAATTTCAGTCAAAAATATCAACAATTAAATAATTCAAACTGTTTCAGCCTGAATTCACTTGGTGTTGTTTTTCATGTATCTTCCAATTGTTATTTAGGACTGCAATTGATCGGTCTCTAATGGCATATGTGCATCCTGTGCAGATTGGCTCGATATAGACTGAAGTCACAAGCTTTTTTAAGCAAAGATCCATAATGGCTAGCAGAGGAATCCAGTTTGATTCGCGTTTTGCCCTACTTAGGCAATCTACACAGGATGCGCATACACCATGATCAATTGTAATCATAAATAACAATAGGAAGATACAAATAAAACAACACCAAGTGAATTTAGACTTCACCCCATTGCACAAGTAGGTGGCTATCAAGACTCAGTAGCTAAATGGCATTTGAAGCTAACGGTACTGAGTTCGAGTTCCGGAAAGGACATCAATTCTGGGATGCAGTTACATCCAGCTGACGAGTCCCAAATAAGACGAGACGTGACTCCAATTGGATTCCACTGCTTGGCACCGTCCATCTTTGTTTCAGCTTGAATTTAATCGATTTATCTGTATAAGTAGATGATTTCTTGAAATAGAAGCATAGCGTTGAAGCCATTCCTGGAAGTATTCAATCCTCCTCCTTTTCTTCTTATAACAATATCATCTGAGAACTGGATTAAGAGTTGAATCATAAAATCAATTATTGTTGTTTGAAGAAACCAAATTTGATTTATCTTTATTCAATTTTATCCTCAATAAGCCTATTAGAACTAGGGGACTATCTAGAATAACTAATGATGTTTATATTTACAAAGAAAAAAATGTACAAAATTACTTTCATGCTGTGAAATGCTGGTACATAAATAAGAATGTTATTTGTCCCTTTGATCAACAATTTGTACTAAATCTAATGTGAATAAGTTTATATTGTTTAGCGATTTTGTTATTTCATAATCATAATCATTTCATCACTAGGTACACTTACTTTATCGATCATTAAAATATTTTGATAAAAGGTATTTTATTCAATTCGATGTATTGTATGATTTCAGCTTGCCCTCCGACAGGTCATCCGTATCGGCGTCATGCTTAACGTGGAGACTCGATCAACATGAGTACCCATACGCCAGAACTTTTGATCCCACGAAATTCCGAGCCCTGGACTTCAAGTAGCTAGATTACAGGCTGACGCCACGATGCTCAACATCTGAAAGGAAACATTGGATACAGTGGACAGTTAGGATGCTGATGGACGATCTAGACTTCGCAGATGAGAAGACGACCAATGTGGCAGCAGTAGGTCTCAATATACACAAAGGAAAACGCAAGATTCTCCGATACAATACAGCATGCAACAATCGAATCACAATTGACGGAGAGGATTTGGAAGATGTAAAAACCTTTACATATTTGGGCAGCATCATTGATGAACACGGTGAATCTGATGCAGATGTGAAGGCGCAGATTGACAAAGCAAGAACAGCATGCTTACAACTGAAGAACATCTGGAACTCAAAACAACTCTCTGTCAACCAACACCAAGGTCAGGATTTTCAATACAAATGTCAAGACAGTTCTATTGAGTGGGGCGGAAACCTGGAGAACTACGAAAGCCATCATCCAGAAGATATAGGTGTTTATTAACAATTGTCTACGCAAAATACCTCAGATCCATTGGCTGGACACTATTAGCAACAACGTACTGTGGGAGAGAACAAACCGGATCCCAGTGGAGGAATAAATCAGGAAGAAGTGCTGAAAGTGGATAGGACACACATTGAGGAAAGCACCAAACTGTGTCACAAGGCAAGCCCTCATCACTTGGAATCCTCAAGGTCAGAGGAAAAGAGGAAGACCAAAGAACACATTACGTCGAGAAATGGTAGCAGACATTAGAAGAATGAACAAGAATTGGATAGAACTGGAAAGGAAGGTGCAGGACAGAGTAGTTTAGAGAATGCTGGCCTGCGGCCTATGCTCCATTGGGAGTACCAGGCGTAAATAAGTGAGTATTGTATAGTTTCAATTCAACATATTGTTAAGATCATGGACTAACTTCAGGCAAACAATCATTGAACTAATCATTGACTGACTACTGATTATAGTCCAAAATCGTATTTGTCTAGTGTCGATTAAATTCCTTTGATCACGGTGAAATGTGGCCAATAATCTAAATGACTGGATATCGCTTGCTTTATGTTTAAATGTTAGGTGGTTGAAAGATAGTTGATAGGAATCGCTGATAATCTAAAGTTACTACAAGTTAGTGCCCAACAATATAACTCACATATTGTGGAATTCAGATAAGGGTCATCCAGCTCTCAGTTTGAGTTCTGGACCACGAGTGACCTCATATAGAACTGAGGTATTTGAAATTTACCATTCCCAGACAAATTCATTGCTGATTAGTGTTAACTAGCATTAAACTTAGGTCTAATCACTTCAGTCACCTAGTATTATCTTTTGTCTTAGTAATAGAATCTTCGACAATGCGCATATTCTTTACCCTTAAAGGGTAAGAGGGTATTGATTATGATCAGTTACTTGGAGATTATTTAGTTAAAATCTACTGTCTCATATTTTGAACTTTAAATTAATTCATGACATCGTGCTACCGTTATAGATTGTTGTCAGTGATAACTATTTCATTCAGAAAATCTTTAAACCTACTCAGTTACAACTTCTCATTAAAACCTAAGGAATTCTTCATAGTCAGACAAAATGGAACAAATGATTTTTGTTGGGATGAGAAAAAGTACTTGACTACTCGTTTAACACCTAACGCCTTACACAAGTATGGGGTGTAAGATATTTATTCAATATGGGAAATAAGAGATAATTGCGCACACCACTCAATCTCGAATCATAGATCTAGAGTTTAAACACTCGCGTCGAGACTGACAGTCCCGTGATGTCATAGATCCACGCTTATAAGCAACTACATGCTTAGAACGAAACAGCTATCCACTACTTCCTAGTTATCAATAGTTGCCTAACAAATAGGTCATTGCATGAAGTAGACTACTGAAACTCTTATATTCACCTTGTTTGTTGTATAGTGGTTTCTGCATTTGGATGTTCACTCTCTTATAACTAAATATTGGTGAGACTATAATTTAAGGACGACCTCTGGGCGACACCAGACTGACCTTGAGAGTGTCCATCTAATAACCAGGACCAAATGAAGGTTATAAACCTGCGTGAAGAAATAGAAATATGATTTACAGTTGATGATTAGGGTTAGAAATTAGATTTCGGGTTTTCGTTACGAACTGACATCAGCTATAGTGTAAAAACTCTATTTATCCGAATGAATGAGTGAATTTCGCACCAAAATCTGAGACCTGTTATCTTATATCTGTTTGGTTCATTCATAAATTATAGTTTCCCCCTTATTATTAAGTAATTGAATCGAAAGTGAAGATAACACACAACCGATTGATGTTAGACTAGCATTGAAAACGTGGAAGCAATAGACTACCATTTCTTCTTTTCGTGGAACTCTTCAGCAGTACGCGTTCACGATCCCGCTTAAGAGATTCGAACACAGGTCCTTCAATCTCACGCGCGAACGCTTAACCTCTAGGCCACTGAGCCAACTCCGAGAATTTTCTCACAAAGCTATTCACTTATGAGCACATAATAATTATCAGTATATGGTTATGAAGACAGGTATCTACGTCAGTGCGATGAAAAATGGTCCCACAAATTCCATGAATTACTCGAGGTTTTCAATCTCTGATAACTTATTATTAAATAATTGAATCGAAAGTGAAAATAACACACACAAAAAGAAAAACTTAAATACAATTGTCTATTGCACCGATTCACTTCATTCAGTACAAACTTTAGATAACATAATATGATTAGGGATCTATCTATACAATACACCTATACAAATAAATCTATTATTGAGTAAACAAACAAACAAACAAACAAACAATCGCAAATAGAAACAAATAAACAAATAAACGAGTCCTATGAACTAATAATGCACCATTGACAACTAAATTTACTAGGGTGAGTGTGTTTATCTATATTTATATCTATGAATAGATGAATGGTTTCTATTGGTTTGATCATACTCATCATTATTTAAACTAGAATCAATTTTATGCAAAATAGTGACATGAATTTTGATTAGAAAGTTGTTCAAAGTTCAATTTTGTTCGTTGTTGTTTTTTCTTCTTTCGATTCATTCATTCATTCAAAGTAATAAATTAATTTGTAAAAAGTAGTAGCTTAGATACAATGATATATCCATATCCATGTTTTTTACCCCTTCTCTTCTTATATATCGTTCGAATCCGATGAAATTAACCCGCTCATTTTAACATTGAGTAATATACTACTGATTTCAATAAATATTTGTATATATACATACATACTGAAGTCTATCTATATATGCCGATCATGTCTTTAAGACATGTATCTCCAAGAAGCAAAGCACCACCACCACCACCATCTCTACAACAATCAAACAGTATCTCATCTGAAAGAGATTACCATTATCATACTAAACATTCATATGATCCATACAATACTACTAATAATACTACTACTCATTATTATCTGATTGATAAACCATATAAACATAATAAATCTAAATATAACAATGTTTATCTATCTCATAATAAATTATTCGATATATTAAATGTTACAAATGATAGAAGAAATCATCAATTCTTAAAACAGACTACATCGAAATTGGATACTTCTATAGATACCTATTCAATCCCATCCAAATTGCGTTCAATGCAGAATTACGGCGCAAGTGTTTCATCGGTCAATAATTGTACTACCAATACTACCACTACGATTACTACGACTACTACTACTACTATTACCACTACTACTACTAATAATAGTAATAATATGAGTAAGGAATCGTTTGAAAATTCAAATTTAAAAAATCGATATTCTAAATCAATTCATTGCCAATCACCTATTATACATGTACGAAATCATATACATCATATTAGTAACCATAGTAACAATAATAATGGTACTATTAATCATAATCGATTAAATGATGGATTTAATTTCCTTAAACATGTTCATAAATCAAAAAAATATTTAAATATACGTCAATATTCAATCAATAATTCATATGATGATGTAATCAATTTGAATAAATTAACTGATTCGAATCATTATTTATGTTCGGTAAGTGAGTTCGTTTGTTACATGATATAATGGTTGTTATCAGTATAGATTTGTGGAGATTATAAAACGATTGATGTTAGACCATCAATGAAAACCTGAAAGCATTAGACTATGCGCTCACTAGTGAGGGAATTGTCGGAGTTCTAGTGAGAAACCGTAATCAGTGGAGCTAATCCGTGTCGGATAGAGACAGCTATCTATCTTAGTACAATGGAAGATGATCGTGCGATTTCGTGGATTAGTTGGGGTTAGACATTAACACAGTTGGATGCTGGCTCAGTGGCCTAGCGATTAAGCGTTCGCGCTCTGTGTTCGAATCCATTGGGCGGGATCGTGGATGTGCACTTCTATGGATTCCCACAATAGGACGAATCAGCCGTCTAATGCTTCCAGGTTTTCAATGGTAGTCTAACACCAATCGATCCATGATCTCAATAATGTTTGTTATTGATTTGTTTGTTCTTTTTTTGTTTTGTTTGTTTTGATATAGACGGAAGAAAATCTTTGTCTAGATTTATTCTGTATGTTTGTTTAATAATTGATGATTCCTTTTGTATGAGTTATTGCTGATAAATTCATGAAATTGATGAGATTGTTTTCTTGTATTTCTTTTTAAATGACTGTTGTTATGGGATCAATATGAAGTACTCATGATATCTTCTTCATTACAATGGTGGTTTTGTCGAGATTGTAGTAATTGTAATAGTCGAATACACGATTCGATTTAAAATAGTCCATCATTAAAGACTTGGAATCATTGGAAGAACGTTGCGTTCTAGTAAAGAACTTCTCACCATTGCGTACCTAAGATCCTGCATGAGGGATCATCGGTCTCGCGTGCGAGCACCTAACGTCTAGTTCATTGATCCGGTATCTGACAGTGTTAATGTTTTATACTAGGACAAGACGATCGTCTAGTGCTTCAAGGTTTTCAATAGTAGCCTAGCTTAGATCGACTCATGAATTTAACTATTACAATTACCACAAAACCCCTATTCTAATAATAATCATCATGTACTAACTAGTGACTGGGTTCAAGATGGATTTTTTGGTGTTCTAGTGTGAAACTGTTACTAGTAGAGTTTAATCCGTGTTGAGTACAGATAGGTATCTACCTGGGACGATGGATGAACGGTTGCACGAAAAGGTCTTTATTGATTAATTTTTTCAATCCACAACAGGTACCAAGTTATTTCTGTTTTCCTACTAATCCAGGAAAATACAGGCAGAATTCTTAGGACTAATTATTTAGAGAGTATTGTATAATAATCGCCAATAAATCTCTGATAATTAGGTTGAAATTTAAGTTGATCCATATTGAGTGCTACTTTGTAACTGAAATAGTGTATTCAATGGTTGAAGACGATCAACTGGAAACCTTGCTTGATGTATTGTAAGCAAAGATTGACGGTAGCTGGCAATGGGATCCAGGACGCGCGTTTCGTTTTATTTCGTATTCACCAACTAGATGTACCTGCATCAAGGAGTGTAAATTCACTCCGGACCTCAAATCCAGTACCGTTCACTTCAAACACCATTATGTTATCCACTTAGCTATCTTTCAGATCGCCACTAGCTTGTACAATTGAGTGAAGTTTTAATTTGTTTTTGTATTGCTTGTTTGAATCTTCCCATTGATGTTTATAACTGCAATTAATCATCCTCTATCGGTATATGTACATCTTGTACGGATCGTTTCGATATCGCGTTAATCCACAAGCGTAATAAGCAAAGATGGATGATGGCTAGCAGTGGAATCCATGACGCACGTTTCGTCCTATATGGGACTCGTCAAGTGGATGTACCTGCAATATCGAGGCAATCCGCGGCATTACAGAGCCGTGATAAGTGGAGTCAAACCGTGTCTGTTATGAGGCAGTTACTCACTGAAGACAGTGGTGGATAGTGGTGCAATATCGTGGATTGGTTGAAGTTAGACATTAGTACCGTTGGACGCCGGCTCAGTGCTCTAGAGGTAAAGCGTTCATGCGTGAGACCGGGTGTCGTAGGGTCGAGTCTCTTTGGAATGAGATCGTGGATGCGCACTACTGAAGAGTCCCATGCTAGGACGAAATGACCGTCCATTGCTTTCAGGTTTTCTATGGTGGTTTAACTTAAATCGACTGATGAATTCAACTATTCTGATGATATAGAAATAACAAATCTTATATATATGTCCTTGAAATGCAAACATTCTCCAATGATTATTTAACGTAATAAAGTGTAGAAATAGATGCCTAACTAACTATTCTTAAAACAAATACAGATAGTTACGCAGTATGACGAATCGATTGATATTATATATGGATGCTATTGTTTGCTTACTCAATAGTTGAAATCTTCGTCGTAAGATCTACAGATTCTGAATTCTTTCCTTTCATGAGGTCGTGAATGTAAAACGATGATGTTTCTCATAATCCCTTGGAGAGTAAACTTCTATGTATACATCATGAAGTCTCTAGAATCTCAACGTCACTCGTGTACATCTAAATACCCTTTACTTCCCCTTGATCAAACTCATTTTGAAAACAAGGTTTAATTAATATTTCTGTCATCTATAAATCAGAGTTACATAATCGTACAGTTTTAGAAGACTGTAAATGACTTAGCGTATCTCCAGTGTATTCAGTATTCAATAAGTGTGTTTATCCAATTTTTTCCAATAAATTTCCTGTTCATTTAAAAGGTGAGTGCTGAATTTCGAAGTGTGATTTTCGGTGGTCAGTCAGTCAGTCAGCTACAACGTAGGACCAGGCACATAAATGCATCGGTCCAAGTTGCCATACCTCGTTAGCACAACAAGATGAACACCGGATTCATAGAAGTAGTTAATTCAGAGGTGGTTATATATAAAAGAAAGATTACATACCAGGATATAGTACAGGAAGAAATAATTAGTTGGTAGAAAAAAAGTTATGAAACGATTTTAATCTCTTAGTTTAAGGGAAGACAGAGAGTGTATACACCGACGCCATTGTGATCGATTCTGAGCCATGTCACCAAGAGTCTCCAACCATTGGTTACGATAGTCACGCGGACTCCAACTAAGTAGTCTGCATCTACCGACATGGCTCAGACTAGAAATTAGTGACTTCACTGACTGATGCCATGTTTTGGTTTTGCCAACCCTAACTTTCTTCCAACCATCCCGAACACCGGTTAGCATTTCACGTCGTGGTAATCGTTGTTCGGGCATACGTAACACGTGGCCCAACCATCTCAGTCGATGAAGATTCACAACCTCACACCTCCAATTAAACATCCAGAGTTACCCGTACGTGTCTATTATGAACATGTACACTGTAGCATTACTCAACGGAAAAAAACCCAGAAATGAGGTGAATGTTGGGATTGTTCATGAAATCCTGACTGGAAATCCCACTTCAATATTCAGCATTCATCTACTAAAAAGACTGAAGAATGGTCTCAACTGTCATTATACTGATTCTGCCAAACTTCTATTGATGATTATTGACTTTCCTTTCCTCTTTATAAATTAAACAGAGGTTTTACACCTCAATTTACTACTACTACCATAGTGAAAAAAATACCTGGTGAGGAGTAACATTTTATTGTTTTATGCAACGCTAATCAATAGCTTTGTAAAATATGAAAATCATACATCCAAGACATCATTTGTACATCTCCCTTCATTTATCTTTTACATACTCCATCATTCTTCTAATCTTGTTGTTATTTCCGTTTCTCTCTGTTTTCTTTCCTCTTCTCTATATTTCAATCTCTTACAGATAAACATTCCAATTTCCTTTCTTGTTATATACTACTTATATCTGTCCTAATAAGTAGCATACAACGGAATAACAGTTTTAATACCACTACTACTACTACTACTACTACTACTACTACTACTACTACTACTACTACTACTACTACTACTACTACTACTACTACTACTACTACTACTACTACTACTACTACTACTACTACTACTACTACTACTACTACTACTACTACTACTACTACTACTACTACTACTACTACTACTACTACTACTACTACTACTACTACTACTACTACTACTACTACTACTACTACTACTACTACTACTACTACTACTACTACTACTACTACTACTACTACTACTACTACTACTACTACTACTACTACTACTACTACTACTACTACTACTACTACTACTACTACTACTACTACTACTACTACTACTACTACTACTACTACTACTACTACTACTACTACTACTACTACTACTACTACTACTACTACTACTACTACTACTACTACTACTACTACTACTACTACTACTACTACTACTACTACTACTACTACTACTACTACTACTACTACTACTACTACTACTACTACTACTACTACTACTACTACTACTACTACTACTACTACTACTACTACTACTACTACTACTACTACTACTACTACTACTACTACTACTACTACTACTACTACTACTACTACTACTACTACTACTACTACTACTACTACTACTACTACTACTACTACTACTACTACTACTACTACTACTACTACTACTACTACTACTACTACTACTACTACTACTACTACTACTACTACTACTACTACTACTACTACTACTACTACTACTACTACTACTACTACTACTACTACTACTACTACTACTACTACTACTACTACTACTACTACTACTACTACTACTACTACTACTACTACTACTACTACTACTACTACTACTACTACTACTACTACTACTACTACTACTACTACTACTACTACTACTACTACTACTACTACTACTACTACTACTACTACTACTACTACTACTACTACTACTACTACTACTACTACTACTACTACTACTACTACTACTACTACTACTACTACTACTACTACTACTACTACTACTACTACTACTACTACTACTACTACTACTACTACTACTACTACTACTACTACTACTACTACTACTACTACTACTACTACTACTACTACTACTACTACTATACTACTACTACTACTACTACTACTACT